TTAAATTCTCGTAAAACGTAAATTTATTTATTTTACATTTAGTTAAAAATCAAACATTGCTTCTTGATTCCAAATTCAGCTAACGGGTTTCAATTTCATGCAATCACAAAAGGGATGTCATTGGATTTACTTTGTCATACGGATGAAGGGAAAATGGAATGGAAAAATGGATACGCTTGGAGCGCTACTTTTGCTTTTTTGAGAACAAAGGGTGTAAATATTGATACTTTGCGCTCCTAAAGGATTTTTGTTGTAGCTTTTGAAATAAAGTATCGTACCAAACGTATGATTCAATCGTTAACGCCAAAGGCATGGATATAGTTGATTTTTTTTATCCCCGATCGGACGATCCAATCCCGAGGCTGAAATGTTTGAATAGTGTGTTCCATCAACAGTTTCGAAATTCCAGTCCATTTCAGTAGACCTTGAAATTTTAAGAGGCAAGTCTACCGGATCTCAGGGACCTTGAGGCCATATTAAGAAAAACCGGACCTGGCTTAGTCCTTAGTAGTATTTCCATTTCCCGACCATTTTTGACTACCATTTTGCATAAGAATAAGAACTTCATCTAACTTTGAATGAAAGTTTTTTTCGACTTGCCTAGGAAGATTCTTCCATCATTCTCCACAAAATTTCTACCAACGTTCTCCAATAAAATCTTTCAATGTTCCCCGGAAATATCCTCCGACATCCCAAGAAGTCCTACTGGCTTCCTCTAGAGGTGAAAATTGTTTCTTATTTCCACTGGCGTGCACAGGGTGGGGCAAGGTGGGGCAATTGCCCCTCCTTTTATAAATAAGATTTTTATTTCCACATTTACAAAATTATGATATCAAATAACTTGATTTCTTGATAACTTGATTTGAAGGCAAAAAAAACTTCATTTCATAAAATAAGCGCACTGAAAACCTTTTATTGCGTCAATTCCTTTGAGATGGTCCCTGAAAATTTCACCACAAAGGTGCATGAAGGGACAAACTTCAATTAAATTTTTATGTTAAAAAATTGCACCACATGGGGCATACAAAAAAATTCTGGAGTAATATTTTTTTTTTCAAGGTGATGAAAAGAAGAGGGTAAATTTAAGGTTGAAAAAATTCACCTTCGTGATGGTAGATCGAATAAAAAGTTTTTTATTGAATATTTCTGGCGTAAAAATATCAGCAAGGTGGTGCATGGAGGGACTAATCAAAATGAAAATTGGAAAAATTGAATCACGCTAAAAATTTGAAGGTGCACATTTAAGGGGGTAGTACACTTGAACGTCCAAAAAGTAAGGCATTTTCATTAATTTTTTTAAGCAATAAAACACTCAGGGAGGGCAAATATGTTTTAACCCATTTATTAGTCATCCTTCGAACTACAATTTGTATTTTTTTGAACTCGATTGGCGTCTCCGCGTGGCCGGTTCACCAGGTCGCGCGGGCGTCCTCGCGTGGAAGTCGGAAAACGGCTTGGGAAAATACGTCTTTCCATGTGCTCCTGGAACATAAATCGAACAAAAATCCTGATTAGTAATGAAATTTGGGTTAGAAATACGTATTCCGATTTTTTTTAAATTATTTTTTTCAAAAGTTGTGGCCTTAGGAAAAAAAAAGTCCATTTTTTCACCCTAAAAATGCTAACAAAATCGTGGATTAAAAATTCATTTTTGACAAAATCGAAAATGTGGATACGTACTTCTTAGCAGAATTTAATTCTAAACAAGAAAACTTAGGTGATATCCAAATTTGATGATAACTGGTTAGAGTTATTTCCCACGCCAGTTTGAAAAACACCGTTTCGAGATAAACGCGTTTAAAGATAAAATTGCTCTCTCAGCGCGCCGGTACATGTTTTAGGAAATCGCTTCGTAAAGCGGTAAGGAATATTCTGGCGGACTTGAAGTCTTTTCTAAATTAAAGTATACATCCCAAGGAACATTTTAAACCAAAAAAATGCATTTTTTTTTTGAAAAATCAAAGTGTACTCCCCCCTTAAATGAAAATGTTTGGTGGAAAGTTCGCTACACTGTGAGAAATGTAGAAGCAAGGTTTATTCATTTTCTGGTGCATAATTTGTATCGGTCTGATGAAAAGCTTCATTGAAAATTTATGGTAAACAATTTGGAGCATTCTGGCATTCTGAAGAGGCAAAGCCTGAAAATTGCACCATAAAGGTGCATGGTGAAACAAACTTCACTGAAAATTTTTGGTACATCGTTCTGGTGAATGGAGGAGTATGCTTTGCATGCTTGCAAAATTTGCATCGCTCTGATGAATGAAATAAACGGAGAATTTCTGTTGGAAAACTTGCACTGGTTTGGTACATGAAGGCACAAGCTTTATTTAAAATTAATCTATGTTTAAAAATTCTGGTGGAAAATCTGCAGCGTTCTGGTGAACGGATGGGCAAACATTTTGAAAAAAATTTTGGTCTTAAATTTGCATCCTTCTACTGAATCCTTGTGCAGAATAGAGAAACAAACTTTAATAATAATTTCTGGTGTAAAATTTGCACCATTCTGATGATTGGAGGGAAGCTGCTTTAGTGAAAATTTATGATGAAAAATCTAAAAATAGGGGCAAGCTTTATTTGGTGGAAAACCGGCAACATTTTGATGATAGGAGAAGCAAGCTATATTGAAAATGTCTGGTGGAAAATGGAAAATGGAAATCTGCACCAATCAGAAGATTGGAGAAGCAATTTTTATTGAACATCAACGGTGGAAAATTTGCATCGTTCTGATCAATTGAAATTTTCTGGTGTCATGTTTGTATTAAAAATTTCTGGTGTAAGATTTGCAACAATCTGCTGCCTTAGATAACAATTGAACAGTTCTGGTGAATGGAGGGGCAAGCTTTATTGAACATTTCTGGTAGAAAAACTACAACATTTTGGTGAATGGGCGGACAACTTAAACTTGATTTCCGAGAAGAACCTTAAGGGTATTGAATTCTGACGACAGTTCTAAAATAAAAGATTTCTGGGGATGATTCATTAAATTCTGTGAATAATTTCTAGTGAATCATGCAGATAGCTCCAAGATAATTTTGAAAAAAATACCGAGAGAATCAAATTTTGAATGAAATTCCAAAGGGATGTTGAAAAAATTTCAATGGAGTTCCGAGGATAATTTCAAGCTCATTCTGGGAAGACTTTCTGGAGAATGCAGAGGAAATTCTTCTGAAACTTTAGGGGAATTTCAGTTCCAAAGTATTCTGAGAAAAAAGTTCTAAAATATTCCGAGAAGAATCTCAAGGATCTTGAATTCTTAAGACAGTTCCAATATATTTCTGGGGAGAATTCAAAGAAAATTCTGCAGATAATTTTTAGTGCCCTTTGCAGATAGTTCCAAGACACTTTCGAAAAGAATACCGAGAAAATCCAATTTTGAGTGTAATTTCTAAGGAATTTTAAGCAAAATTTGAAGGGAATTCGGAGGATAATTTCTAGCTCATTCAGTTCCAATGTGTTCTGAGAAAAAATCATGAAGAGTTCTAAATATAATTCCAGTGGACTTCTGAGAAGAATTTAAATAATGAATTCTGATGACAGTTCGAAATGATTTCTGGGAAGTATTCCAAGAAAATTCTGTAAATAATTTCTAGTGAATCCTACAGATAGTTCAAAGATAACTCCGAAAATAATACCAAGAAAATGAAATTTTAAGTGAAATTCCACAGGGATTTTAAGGAAAATTTTAAGGGAGTACCGATAATTTCTGGGTCATTCCGGGAATAATTTCTGGATAATACTGAGGAAATTCTTCTGAAACTCCAAAGGAATTTCAAATCCAAGGTGTTCTGATTAAAAGTCAAGTAGAGTTCTTAAAAATAATTCCAGATGACTACTGAGAAGAATCTTAAAAGACCTCATAGAGTTCTAAAAATTTCGAAAAGAACCTTAAGGAATTCTGAGGAAGGACTTTTTCGCAACTGTACAAAGTTTAAATATAGCTTTTGGATTCCCTAATTGAAAAGTGGGTATTAGTTTGCCATTGAACCTTGGTCTATTATTGCTGTCTTACTAAAAATCGTCTAAGAATCTTCTGTGTGTTTTTGGAGTTCCCCGAAATTTCTGTCCAACGTTTCTCGGAAGCCACTTGCAACATTTCTCGCAAATTTTATGTCCAGAAGTGTCTACTGGTTATTCCTAGAAGCTTATTTAAGCTTCTCCGGAAAGGTTCAACTGATTTCTTCCGGAATCTGGCGTCACCAGGAAGCTTCTTCCTTGGCTTCTTGTGACTTGGCGATCTATTTTTAGTGAAACTGTATCTGTACCAAAAATCCCTGCTTCCCGGGAAGTCGAACCAGCTTCCCGGGAATCGGTAAATGTGAATTTTGTAAAATTATCCGGAAATGGTTCTCGGGGATGTCCCAGGTAGTAAACACTAATCCTGAGAAAATGCTCGAGTAACGCTAAGAGGACCCTTTAAGCAAGTCAATGGATTTTATGTGCTTGCCAATCATGCTCTCACTCGAAATTTATGGATAGGTTATATTAGTGACACTGAGTCTGACACTAGGAACATTAACCCCATGTACAATTTTGCTGGTTTTGTCGGAAACCATTACGAAATATAGGGTCATCTAAGCTCAAAGGCAAGCTCATGGATGATTTTTTTTTTCTTGATTTGTTTTCCGTTGATCTTGTTCTCCGTGCTGAGCACCAATGCTACCGACGCCAGGGAGGCAGCTCCCACACCTGGACCCTACCTATCGACCCATCAACTCATGAACCGGGTACCAACGGCTTTACTTCCCTTCCGAAGGAAGGCGTGATTAGAGATGTTATGCCTCAGAACATCCCGGCGGCGCCGACTGGGATTGAACCCAGGCCTGCTATGGTGAGGGGTAATCACGCTTACCACTACACCACCGGCTCCGCTATGGAAGATTCTTTATTATTGATGTACCTAACTGACTGTTGTTCCAAAGACACTAGACGAACACAGAAATTAAAAAAAAACCAGTACCCCTTCTAATCCGCAAATCCGCTCTTCCCTCTAATCCCAACAGAGGCATCATCGAGTGCAAGGAACCGATCGAGGTGGTGAGCTACAAAATCGGCGTCTGCAAGGTTTCACCCAAGGGCAAGGAATGCACCACCACCTTCCAGAAGCTCGGCTACAACGGCACCAGCAGTGTGGTTCTGTGCAAGCCTCTGACCGGCCGAATGCACCAGATCCGTGTACATTTGCAGTATCTGGGTAAGTTGCTAGTGCTTCAATTATCTTCGTTCGAAATTGATAACCTATTTTCCATTCAATCAGGATATCCCGTGGTAAATGATCCGCTGTACAACCACGAGGTGTTTGGACCATCCAAGGGACGAGGCGGCGACATCGGCGGCAAAAGCGATGAACAGCTGGTGAAGGATCTGATCAACATTCACAACGCGGAAAATTGGCTGGGAATCGACGGCGATTCGGAACTGTCCATGTTCAAACCGATGAAGAACGACTTGGAGGATGGCAAAGGTACGTGGGTGGCTTTCAATTCGATCACACCGGCGACTAATTTGTAACTCTTTCACAGGACCAATTTTAAGCGACGACGACTCGGAAAGCGTGTCCCGCGAAGCATCTCCCTGCTCGGAAAGCCCCCGGCCCGTGTCGTTGGGCAGCGAGAGTCCGAACGAGAACATGTGTGCCTCGATCCTGGCGCCCAACACGTTGAATGTCGTCGGCAGTGCCAACACTGGCAGCAGCAATAGCAGTTCCACCGCTCTCAACACCCGGCTGCAGTCGCAGAAGGTAATTAAATGTTAAGCTGAAGATGCGCAAATTTGCATTTTTATCGCTGTTTGGGATTAGACCGACAACTAGAAGATGCAATGATCGCACCGATCAACAAGATGCAACCGCACCTCTTATCTAAAATTCAATCCCACTCGGAAACGTGACTTTAGGCAATCAACCATGCAGCTCCATCGGGTGGTCAGCAACAATGCGGTTATCCGCATCAGCTCATTTATTTTGAAACTGGTTTTCCCAACCCAGTGCGCCACTGACTGACTCCTTCCGAGCATCTCTCTAGCCAGGCTGCATGCGCTTTGAAGCAGCACTAAAGATGCTTGTAAATTATACAGCACAAATATATCTGTGTGTAAACACAGTACCGATGCAGTTTGTACAACTCACTGGATTGAAACAACAACAACGACGACGACGACGGTGTGTGCATCCTTCGGTTGGCTTCTTCAGATTTGAGTGGTTCTGCTGCTTGCATGGCTAGGGAGGGATATATGTGGGCCATGATGGTACTTGTTCCGTCGGGTCTGCTGCCGGAGGCAAACACACTGCATATATGCATCAAAAATGTTTTGCCCCATGGAGGTAAACATAGTCCATTCCTCGTCGGCAAATATCCATAGAAGCAGCTACGGTAGAGTTTCGTGATTCGATAGTAGGTCTGCCTCCTCGAGTCGAGTCTCTCGAGTGAGGTGAAAAACTGTTGCAAGAGATAGTTGATGTTATTTTAGAAATTTAATTACAATTTATAATAGGTTCTGCATAAACAGACAGTTTTGCTCATTCCGATTGCATGAAGCTTCTCCTGAAACATGCACTTGTTTTAAGGTATCAGGACGACACGATCTAGCTCGGTGGTGGTGCAGCTGGTGGGGCCGACGGTGATGATGACTGGCAATATTGGGCGAAAGTTGGTGCTGCCACCGGGGCAGAGCGCCAAACAATGAATATAAATTTCATTAACACCTGAGAGTGCACCATGAATAACTGAAAATTTGTTGTTTTCGTGATAAGCACAGCAGGTAATGACGTGTGGCAATGGAGGGTCATATTATAAATGTTGGAGAGCCGTTCTATGAATGAACTAGTAATGTGAAGTGAGGAAGCTTTATGGAGCTATTTCATTAATTTAAATTTGAGGATAATTTAGTGAGTTGGGTTGTCATAAGGTCTGAATAATAGTCGGCCATTTTTCTGGATTTCGATCGCATCGTGTTCTTTACTCAAGATTTGGTGTTCAAGCCAAAGTGCTGATTGATTATGTTTGGACTTTGATATCATCTTGAACTTTCCGTTTATCTTCACATAGAGCAATTGTTGACTTCGTCAGTACCTTTACCGATTATGGTCAGGGGGTGATGGAGCCTCTGGGCGCTCGATGTTGACCAAACGATGCCCTGAAACGTGATTCATCCTCATAATGTTGATGGTTTGTTTGTTTATGGCAAATAATGGGTTCCGGGTCATTTGACCAAATGCCATTTAGCCGAATAGGTCATTTGGCCGAATAAAACTTCTTAGTAACAGATTGAAAAATCTACACATTTGCCATTACAAGGAAAGAATCTTAAAATTATTAAATTCTAACTTCTCATAAAATATTTCAAACGGGATTAAAAAATCATGGCAACTTTCATTAAAAAACATTAAAAACAACTTCAAAGAACTCCTAAAAAGATATATTTTTGTTTCTCACCATGCTTTTGAATCCTTAACCCTTTACTTTCCCAAAGGTTTTTGGTTGTTTTGAGTTTTTTTTAACTAGT